GAGATTCAAGCAGAAACATACTGTTAAGGAAGTAGTTTTAGGTACATCCTGAAAGGAAGCGGCCTTCCCTTCTCTGTGGGATGAAAAACATGCTGTTATTCCTCACTTATCAAATCTGATTATTTAAAAAAAAAAAAAAAAAACTTGCTACAAATCTTCACTACACCACCCACACTTAATAATAATAATAATAATAATAATAATAATAATAATAATAATAATAATAATAATAATAATAGTAAAATTGGAAGGGACCCTCAAGGTCATCTAGTCCAACCCCCTGCTCAGGCTGGAAACCCTACACCATTTCAGACAAATGGCTGTCCAGTCTCTTCTTAAAAACTTCCAGTGTTGGAGCATCCACCGCTTCTGGAGGCAGGTTGTTCCACTGGTTGATTGTTCTCACTGTCAGGAAGTTTCTCCTTAGTTCTAGGTTGCTTCTCTCCTTGATTAGTTTCTATCTTTTGCTTCTTGTCCTGCCTTCAGGCACTTTGGAAAATAGCTTGACTCCCTCTTCTTTGTGGCAGCCCCTGAGATATTGGAAGGCTGCTATCCTGTCCCCCCTCGTCCTTCTCTTCATTAAACTAGACATACCCAATTCCAGCAGCCGTTCCTTATATGTTTTAGCCTCCAGTCCCCTAATCATCTTTGTTGCTCTTCTCTGTACTCTTTCTAGAGTCTCAACATCTTTTTTACATCGCGGTGACCAAAACTGGATGCCGCATTCCCAGTATGGCCTTACCAAGGCATTGTAAAGTGGTATTAACACTTCACGTGATCTTGATTCTATCCCTCTGTTAATGCAGCCTAGCATTGTGTTGGCTTTTTTGGCAGCTGCACTTGACATTGGATTCCAAAAAAAGGGGGGGGGAGGAGAGAAAACAGTAGACTTTACAGCTCAATGCTTCCTTGGAAGTATAAGTTAGCAGAAAGCACAGCCTCATTCTGCAACAGCTGATTCCAAGTTTCCCTGCGGTGATGAACGCTGCATCTCCTTTTACAACGAACTATTCTGAAATAGTCTGATTTAACAAGACGCTTGCTCCTGGGGAGGAAAGCCATGGCAAATCTAGACAGCATGCTAAAAAGCAGAGACATCACCCTGCCAACAAAAGTGGGTATAGTCACAAGGCCGTGGTTTTCCCAGTTGCAATGCATGGCTGTGAAAGTTGGACCATAAGAAAGGCTGAGCGCCAAAGAATGGAGGCCTCTGAACCCTGGTGCTGGAGAAGACTCCTGCGAGTCCCCTGGACTGCAAGGCGATCCAACCGGTCAGTCCTAGAGGAGATCAACCCCGACTGCTCTTTAGAAGGCCAGATCCTGAAGTTGAAACTCAAGTACTTTGGCCACCTAATGAGAAGGAAGGACTCCCTGGAGAAGAGCCTAATGCTGGGAAAGATGGAGGGCAAGAGAAGAAGGGGACGACGGAGAATGAGGTGGCTGGATGGAGTCACTGAAGCAGCAGGCGTGAGCTTCAATGGACTCCAGAAGATGGTAGAGGACAGGAAGGCCTGGAGGAACGTAGTCCATGGGGTCGCGATGGGTCGGACACGACTTCACAACTAACAACAACAAACAAGAGGGAAGTCAATGTATTTACACACCAATGTTCCAGCCTATCTTAAATCACAGGCTGTAGTGAGGGTGATGTGTGGAGAAGGAGAGCAGCCGTTCCCTGGAGTTGCTGAAGGGAAAGCAGATATGATTATGGTTCTGGGAGAACCAGCTCACTACAAACCCCATCAGCCAAGGAATTTTGGCTGGCGAGGGCTGGAAGGCCCTTCTCTACCAGGGCTCTCACTCTTGCGGAGAAACCTCTCGCTGCCGGAGGCGAGAGCCACCCCCACCATCTTGATCTTCAGGAAGGGCCTTAAAACCTGACTCTGCCAGTTGGTCTGGGGCCCCCATGGAGAAGCTTTAGGCTGGAGGTGGTTGGTGCAGTAACAGAGGAGGCACGGCCTCTGCTGTTAACCTGGGATCTCTTAACTCTGTAATTTAATATTCTGTTAATTTTAATCTGATGGAAGAAAATATTTGTAGCTCAGGTTCAAACTGTAAGTGTTCTATGAACCTGCTATCTTGCAGACGTTTCATTACCCAACCAATGACATCATCAATGCACTGATGTTAGATAGATAGATAGATAGATAGACAGACAGATAGACAGACAGACAGACAGACAAGGGATAGATTAGACATAAGATAGACAGATAAGATAGATAGATAGATAGATAGATAGATAGATAGATAGATAGATAGATAGATAGATAGATAGATAGATAGATAGATAGAAGATATAGATAACGTAAAGAAGATAGAGAAGAAATAGATAGATAGATAGATAGATAGATAGATAGATAGATAGATAGATAGATAGATAGATAGATAGATAGATAGATAGATAGATAGATAAGGGAAGATATAGATAACATAAAGAAGATAGAGAAGAGACAGACAGACAGACAGACAGATAGATATAGATAAAGAGAAGATAAATAAGAGATAAAATAGATAAAATAGATAAGATAAATAAGATAGATAAGAGAAGATAGATAATATAGATAAGAGATAGATATGATAGAGAAGATAGAGAAGAGATAGATAGAGAAGATAGATAGGTAAGATAGATACAGATAAGATAGATAAGAGATAGATAAAATAAATAAGATAGATAATATAGATAAGAGATAGATAAGAGATAGATAAGATAGATAAGAGATAGATGAGAGAGAGAGAGAGAGAGAGAGAGAGAGAGAGAGAGAGAGAGAGAGAGAGAGAGAGAGAGAGAGAGATTTTTAACTGTGGGCACAATGGCATACATTAAAAATGAAATTTAGTTGCTTGCTCTCAAAGTGTTACTTAGTTGGGTAATGAAAAGTCTGCAAGAAAACAACCAAGCCCCCACAATTTTAATCCTTTGATATTTATAGTTGTTCTTGTCTCTCTATTTTTATTACAGCCTAAGCAGCCCAGTCTCCTCCAATCACGAGAAGGCCTATGAATGTAATAAATAAATGAACAGCTCTCTTGCACTATCTCCGTTGTTTCCCCCCAATGCCAAGGAAAGCAGGCTCTGACTTGTACAAAGACTTTAATTATTAAATGGGGTTAACGAGAGATCTAAGAAACGCAGCCTGCCAGCCTCCTTCCAGGGCTCTGAAAGTGGGAGGATGAGGACCCAGAAGGGACCTTTGAAGCTTTCTTTCACATGGAAGGGGAGAAACGTTCTCTTGAGAGCCAAAATGAGCACCTTGAAGCCTCAGGTATGCCTAAATAACTCGTTTTCACTAAGATGGCAGATCTGCTCATTAGCAGGCGTTCCCCCCCCCCAAAAAAGGAGCAGGTGCCACTTGAGACCCACTGCCTGGAGCTGCTCAGAGTTACATCTGGTCTTCAGCCTGGCATATGTGAGCTGGGAAGGGGTGTACTTCTGCTTTACAAGGCTCTTAGCTCTTTGCAAGATGGAGTTTTGTGGTTGTTCTTTACCCTGCGTTCTCCGATTTCTCTTAGGCCAGTGGTGGAGAACCTCTGGCAGGCGTGCCAGAGGCGGCACTCGGAGCCCTCTCTGTGGACACACGTGCCATCGCCCCAGCGGCCCCCTCACCAGCAGCCCCCCACAGGAGTCATCCCCCAAGCATGGCCCGGGCGGACCAGCGCAGCCAAGAACATGGCAGCCGGGCAGCCTCCGCCCTCGCACCCCGTCATGTGCAGATGCTGCTGCGGGGTGCGGGCGGAGAGCATGGCCGCCTTGGCACAGCTGGGCCGCCTAGGCGATATGTGGTGGGCCACGGAGGCGGTGAGTGGCCCTGTGGGCAGGCAGGGGACCAGGGTAGAGGCTTTTTTGGGGCACTCGGTCTCTAAAAGGTTCGCCATCACTCGTTAGGGCAACATCTCCAAAATTCATATATACTCCTCACTTATGACCCTTCGCTTTTTGTTTCTTAAGAGTTTTATCCCACTTTTGTTTACATACTACTCAAGGTGACAAACCTACTGATAGTCCTTCCCCTTTCTATTTTCCCCACAACAACCCTGTGAGATGAGTTGGGCTGAGAGACAGCGATCGTTAAGACGGGACTAGAACTCACGGTCTCCCGGTTTAGCGACCGTTCGAACTTACGTCGCTGAAAACAGGGATTCGTGATCAGTCCTTACACTTACGACGTTTGCAGTGCTCTGGGGTGGTGTGATTTGCCCCCTTCCCAGCCAGTTTCTCTCCTTGTAGGAGAGATGGGCAGTGTAACATTTAATAAAACAAACCAACGTATCAACATACACACATACAAGCAAACGAAGGTTGCAAATTGTAATCACATGGTGTCTTGCTTAATAACCATGGTCATTCGCTTAATGACCGCAGCAAAAAAAAAAAGATCGTAAACTCAGGCGCGGTCATAGGATGCCTCGCTTAATGACCGCCCTGTTTAATTGAGGAATTTTCCGGTCCCAATTGTGATGGGAACAGGTTGGCCAAAAGAGAAGCATGCAAAAGTAACAATTACAGCAACGCCAAGTTGGAAGAAATGGGTGTTTTGGGTTTTTTTGTTTTGTTTTTTTTTTTTTAAATTGAAATATACCTTCCCTCTTTCGTGAGTCCATCTTGACTCGATGGGAGTTTTACATCATCAATAGCGCTTTCCAGCTGCAGGAGAATCCCTTTAGGCATACAAAGAAAAAAAGGGGGGGAGAAATTTAATGTAGTTTTACAAATGGATGCTCGCCTTGAGGGGGCAGCCCTCTCTCTTTCCCCTCAGGCCAGGCTGTGATGACTCCCCTGGGCGCTTCCCCAGATGCCTCTCCAGAGGCTAGTTCGGGGGAGAACGAGCCAGTCCTGGGCGCATCAGGAGGGGAGGCAGCCGAGGGCTACAAGCCAGGAGTGGAGAGGCCTAGCACGGGACAGCAACCAGACTAGCAGCCGGCTGAGCTAGAGACAGGAGAGGCCCAGCTGCAGTTGGGAAGCCCAGAGGCTTCGGGTGGAGAGGGCACACAACTGCAGCTGGTCAGTGGCGATGAAGAAGAACTGTCTCCTCCTCCAGATACGAGAGCAGGTAGGGCTGTGAGGAGGCAGGCACAACAAAGGTCAGCCAGGCTACTTGCGAGGAGGCAGCCTGGCCCTCTTGATGGTCTGCACCAGGAAGCAGTTATTTAGCTCAGCATACGGGAGTGAAGAAAGGCTGAGCACCAAAGAATCGAGGCCTTTGAACTATGGGGCTGGAGAAGACTCCTGTGAGTCCCCTGGACTGCAAGGCAATCAAACCAGTCAGTCCTAGAGATCAACCCCAACTGCTCTTTCGAAGGCCAGATCCTGAAGTGGAAACTCAGGTACTTTGGCCACCTAAGGAGAAGGAAGGACTCACTGGAGAAGAGCCTAATGCTGGGAAAGATGGAGGGCAAGAGAAGAAGGGAACGACAGAGAAGGAGGTGGCAGGATGGAGTCACTGAAGCAGTAGGCGTGAGCTTCAAGGGACTCCAGAAGATGGTAGAGGACAGGAAGGCCTGGGGGAACGTTGCCCATGGGTTGGACACGACTTTGCAACTAACAACTAACAAGGGGAGTGAAGCGATGCCGAGAACAAGGTGTCCATTTCATGGCTGTGTGTTCTTGCTTTGAACTTTGGATTGCACAACTGTGGACTTGCCGTTCCCTAGTGGACTTGCCAGCACTGTGGGCTGGGGCTGGCATAAGGAATTGCTGGGGAGTGCTAATTCAGGCTTGGAAGCCTCAATAAAGACTCCTAACGCCCATGGTGCATGTTTGGGTGTGTGTGAACGGGACAGCACACAGGAAGATACTCCCAGCTTCTCGGCAAGTCAGGGATCCCATCTGCTTAGTCCAGTGCAGGGAAGAAAGTGAAACATGGACTCTGCTACATGTACGCTGAAGGGCATCACACAGGGCACTGTTTCAAAGAACCGTTTTATTTATTTATTCAATTTTTACACCCACCTATAGATGACCAGGCTTAGCCCGGGGAGAGTCAAGCACCCCATCTTTTAGAAGTCCCTTCGTGCCTGCAACAGATCTAAGTCCAGCCCTCCTTGAATTCCATTGACTCCTATCTACCACCAATTTGTCTTAAGCATTAGTCATTCAGATTCTTGTTTACAGGTAGCATGGAATAAGACTCGTACTTATTTTGGACCTCACCCAGGCTTCTAATTTCTTGCACGCCTGACACCGCCCTTCTTACCTAATGATTCTGGGAGGTTTACAATTTCATTTTATACTCCATGCAGCTCAAACTTTCCCACCTGTTGTTAAGTCCCCCTTGTTTAGTATGGTCCTGTCTTCGAACAGCTGCTGAATGAGTGGATGTTAAGCGAGGACTATCTCTGTAGGATTATTCTGGTTAAACTCGCAAGGAAAAAAAGGTACTTACGCTTTATTTTTGCTATGTCTTCGAGTTCCATGTTTAGCCCTGTTTGAGAAAAAGAGTTTTCCTTCAGTTGAGATTTACAGGTGCCACTTTTCTTCTATCAGGTTGGTCACGTGATTTGACCAAGTGTATGACCATCATGACATATGACCATAATGGGCAGGTTCCATTACAGTTGTTATGTCGAGGACGAATTATACCAGGGGTAGGCAACCTTGGCCCTTTTATGACTCGTGGACTTCAACTCCCAGAATTCCTGAGCCAGCCACGCTGAGGGGAAAGGGAGAGGTTTCCATGCTGAGCCAGGCTGGCTCAGGAATTCTGGGAGTTGAAGTCCACAAGTCATAAAAGAACCAAGGTTGCCTACCCCTGATTTACTATCCTATCAAATAATATATATTTTTTCTATCCTGCTCGATGGAGCAGAGAGTTGGTCTCTGACAGAAGGCCACCTGAAGAGATTAGAGAAGCATTTGAAATGGGGATTTACAGGCGGCTGTTACGTAGAAGCTGGGTTGACAAAATCAGAAATGAGGAGGGGATCAGCCGCCTGGGAAAGCCAAGGGAAATCATCAAAACTATTTAAAAATGAAAGTTAGAATATTTCGGACACGTGATGCGGCACCCAGAAAAATACGGCATACTCCATTTCATCCTCCAGGGAAAGATTGAAGGCAAACGAGGTCCAGGCAGAAGAAGAACATCGTGGCTTCAAAATCTCAGGGACCGGTTTGGACAAAACTCAGCAGCACTTTTTCGTGCGGCTGCTGATAAAAACAGGATCGCCAACGTCCGATAACGGATATGGCACAAGAAGAAGAAGATCAAATAATACCCTCTACTCTTTTGTAGCCCGGTCAGTTTGTACGTTCCTGTGAACTGAGATAATCTACCTGAATCGACAAGTTCCATATTGAATTCAGCGTTAAATTCATTCCGTTCAACTTTTTTGGCTTGGTCTTCTAAGATGGCGTTGATGGCATCAATAGCTAAAGCTAAGTCACAGGGAGTCAAGTCAAACGATGACAATTCTTCACACAGTTGTTCCTAGAAAGGAAGAAAAAACATTTGAAATGTTTGTAACTCATCAGCTGCACAGTAATGTTGCATGTTTGTGCAAGGGCAATTCTTGCACTGCAACGACAGTGGCATCCATAGAGTCCATTAAAAAAATCCTTTTTAATATGCTTAATTGGCTACTTCCAGCAGAATCCAAATCTTCCTGTCCTCCGCTCTGATTGCTGTTGTCAATCAATACCAGATGCTTTGGAACACAACATAAGCTGTTGTACAACTTTTTTCCCCCCAAGGGGGAAATTTTATATTTTTGCTGTATTACTTCAGGGAAGCCCTAAAATAACTTCAGAGAGTCCTTAATATTCCCCATCTGGCTTCAAATTAAAAGACTTAAGGGTGTGGTAAACAGAGGAGGATGGCACATTTTTCTGAAACAAGATATTAATATCAAATTCTTTCCTACTTTGATTTAGCAATGAAGCTGTCAGTCCTTTAATCTTATATAGCAGGGGTCCCCAACCCCCCAGTCCGTGGACCAGTACCGGGCCGCTGCATGTCAGCAACCGGTCCACACAAACAAGCAAAGTCCCATCTGTGGGATGCAGGCAGCACACAAAACCACGCACCCTCCGGTCTGCGGGAAAACCTCTCTCCACAGAACCGGTCCCTGGTGCCCAAAAGGTTGGGGACCTCTGTCTTAGAACAACTACTTGTTCGTAACTTGAAGAAATTTGGCTTTTATCGTGTTTATGGTAAGGCTCCAGAAACGGAAAGAGTTTAGTCTTTAGCATTTTTATTGTTCCTGTCCCATAGACAGAATCTTGCCAAAGTAAAACCTGCTATTACACTATGAGGCATGTACTCTGGGAACTGTTAGGGAGGAGCCTTCTTCACCCTTTTTCTCTCACACAAACTATCAGGACTGAGTTGCCTCTTGTTTCTCTGGAATGCAGTCTCTCCCTTCTGGGAATCCAGAGAATGGAGGGAGGGAGGGAGGGAGGGAGGAAGCAAACTCCCAAAACAGGAGGGAGAGAGAAAGGGAGGGAGGGAGGAAGGAAGAAAGGAAGGAAGGAAGCTCCCAAAATCAAGGAAGACACAATGTGATTCTTCCTAGCAGATTTTCTTTATTGTTCATCACCCACAGACAGAATCTTGCCAAATTAAAGCATGCTAACATCCCCATAAAGCATGTACTCTGGGAACTGTTAGGGAGGAGCCTTCTTCACCCTCTTTCTCTCACACAAACTATCAGGACTGAGTTGCCTCTTGCTTCTCTGGAATTCAGTCTCTCCCTTCTGGGAATCCAGAGAATGGAAGGAGGGAGGGAGGGAGGGAGGGAGGGAGGGAGAAAGGAAGGAAGGAAGGAAGGAAGGAAGTAGGATGGAAGGAAGCTCCCAAAATCAAGAAAGACACAATGTGTTTCTTCCTAGCAGATTTTCTTTATTGTTCATCACCCATAGACAGAATCTTGCCAATTTAAAGCATGCTAACATCCCCATAAAGCATGTAGTCTGGGAACTATTAGGCAGGAGCCTTCCTCACCCTCTTTCTCTCACACAAACTATCAGGACTGAGTTGTCTCTTGCTTCTCTGGAATGCAGTCTCCCCCTTTTGGCAGAGGTGTCCAACCTTGGCAACTTTTAAGACTTGTGGACTTCAATTCCCAGCCAGCATGGCTGGCTGAGAAAATTCTGAGAATTGAAATTCACAAGTCTTAGAAGTTGCTATATACAGGTAGTCCTCGACCTACAATAGTTCATTTAATAACTGTTTGAAATCGCAACGGAATTATGACTGTTTTCACATTGACGACTATTGCAGCACCCCCATGGTCATGTGATCAAAATTCAGACACTTGGCAACTGACTCATATTTATGACGGTCGCAGCGTCCCGGGGTCATGTGATCCCCTTCTGTGACCTTCTGACAAGCAAAGTCCACGGGGAAGCTGGATTCATTTAACAGCTGTGTTACTAACTTAACAACTGCACTGATTCACTTCACAACTGTGGCAAAAAAAGGCTATAAAATGGGGCAACATTCATTTGACAACTGTCTCACTGAGCAATGGAAATTTTGGGCTCAATTGTGCGCTGAGGAGTGCCTGTGCTCATAAGGCAGCCTTACCTCTTTATGATAGTGTGAAAAGTGGAGAAAAACAGGGCATTTATAGGCATTTATCTTGCTGAAATGGCAAAGATCTCGGCTTATTTGAAGGATCATTCAAATGAACAATTTTTATCAATATGGAGAAGATGGATTGTTTATATTCAAAATAAGCATAGAATGGTGGAATATAGGTTAGGTTTTTAGATAAAAAAAAATTTTTTTTCTTCTTTTTATATATATACATATATTTCACCTATTTATGTAGAATTATATTTTGTGGAGTTAGGGATATTAATATAAGGTTACTTTTAGATGAATGGTATCCTGGGATTAGGTTTGGGAAGTCTGGGTGGGGGGTGGGGAGGGGGTTTTTCAATTGTGATGTACTTGTGTTTGCTTTTTTCTTATGTTGAAAATAATAAAAAAAATTTGAAAAAAAAACAAAAAAACAACAACAGGGCATTTAAACACCATTATGTGCCTCTCAAGCAGGCCACGTGTAACTGCATGAAATGAAAGGCACTCACTGCAGGCCAAACCTGGTTCCCCATTTTTCAACAAGAATATACCAATCATGCCAAATCTGGAAGCAACCTCTGCACATTTAATTCAAAATGTATTCTTAGAATTATCACTGGATAACAAACCAGGGTGTTTCTCAGCAGGCATTGTCATCAAGACGCACTCTTCTTTCAAATTAATCATTTACACTTCGTATTTATTTTCCATTTCATAGCAAACGGCCAAGCGAGACTCAACGGGAATGTAAAGGGAATCCATTCCTTAGACCAGAATATCCTAGCAAGGAGGCGTTATCACAGTAATGGCGAACCTTTTAGAGACCCAAACTGCAACCCAAAACCCACTTATGCATCATTGGGTGCCGGGTGGGTGTGGCCCATTGGGTGGGTGTGGTTCATTAGGTGGGTGTGGCCCATTGGGTAGGCATGGCTGCAGTGGTAACAGCAGACTGGGTGGGACTAAAAAGTTCAATCAATCAATTCCAACTTTGCAAGATCTATTTTTCCCGCGAGAAGTTGAAATTGACTGATTGATTGAACCTTTTTTTTTTGTACACGGCTGTGGAGGCCTAAAGCAAAAAGGTTTTATAAAACCCAGCTGAAGGCCTAGGACTGGGGCGACGGCACGCGTGCCCACAGAGAGGGCTCTGAGTGCCGCCTCTGGCACCCGTGCCATAGGTTCGCCACCACTGTTTTAGAGACTGAGTGCCCAAACTGCAACCCCAAACCCACTTCTGCATCGTCGAGTGTCGGGTGGGTGTGGCCAATTGGGTGGGCGTGGCTGAGGTGATAACGGCAGACTGGGTGGGACTAAAAAGTTCAACCAATCAATTCCAACTTTGCAAGATCTTTTTTTTCCCGCGAGAAGTTGAAATTGACTGATTGAACTTTTTTTTTTTTTTTTTTGCACATGGCAACGGAGGCCTAAAGCGAAAAGGTTTTATAAAACCCAGCTGAAGGCCTAGGACTGGGGCAATGGCGCCCGTGCCCACAGAGAGGGCTCCGAGTGCCGCCTCTGGCACCCGTGCCATAGGTTCGCCACCACTGCGTTATCAACTTGTTTTAAGAATGATTTGGAGGCGATACCAAAAAAAGGAAATGTTTCTTAGAGGATGACACGGGTAGTCCTTGACCTATGACCTGTCAAAGCCACGACAAAACCCACAAAAGGTTTTTGTGGTTCCGAACTGACGATGACCATCCCTTCCAGTCACATGTCCCCATTTCAGGCAATGATCAACCTGCCCAGTTTTGCAGCCATTTGCGGTGTCCCACATGACTGCAATTTATGCCAATTTTGCCTTAAAAAAATATGCTTAGTTCTGCTTTTTTTGGGGGGGAAACGCCCCATAGTGAACAATAGGTTTATTTAACTATTGTGGCATTTGCTTAATGGCCACTGCAGAAAAAGGTAATACAGTGAAATTGGGTGGGTGACATGACATGCTCTGCAACTGTAATGGAGGACAACCTGTAGCCCTTTTTCTACTTAGGTTGGCTGTCCCCTAACTCTGTTTGCATTTGCATATGCTAATTTATAGTAAATACTTTTCTGGGAAAGTACTGCCTGGCACGCAAGCTCTTCTCCTGCCATAGATCGAATTCTGGGCCTCCGGTGACCCTGGCGTCTGCAGAAACATCATGACAGTGTCGTAGATAGGATCAGATTTCTTACAATGAGGTGCGGCCTTTCTCAGATGGAAAAAGAAAAGGAGACTGAGAAGGACCCTTAGGCCCAGCTTGGAAGAAGAGTATAAGTACTCATAGTAGTAATTATGAGAAGGATCTTGGAGTCCTAGTGGACAATCACTTAAATAGAAGCCAGCAGATGCAGCAGATGCCAAAAAAGCCAATGAAATCTTAGGCTGCATTAACAGAGGGATAAGCATCAGGATCATGTGAAGTGTTGATACCGCTTTATAAGGCCTTGGTAAGGCCACACTTGGAATATTGCATCCAGTTTTGGTCACCACAATACAAAAAAAGCTGTTGAGACTACCATTTCAGACAAATGGTTGTCCAGTCTCCTCTTAAAAACTTCCAGGGTTGGAGCATTCACAGCTTCTGGAGGCAGGTTGTTCCACTGGTTAATTGTTCTAACTGTTAGGAAGTTTCTCCTTAGTTCCAGGTTGCTTCTCTCCTTGATTAGTTTCCATCCGTTGCTTCTTGTCCAGCCTTCAGGCGCTTTGGAGAGAAGCTTGACTCCCTCTTCTTTGGGGCAGCCCCTGAGATATTGGAAGACTGCTATCATGTCCCCCCTCGTCCTTCTCTTCATTAAACTAGACAGACCCAATTCCAGCAACTGTTCCTTATATGTTTTAGCCTCCAGACCGCTAATCATCTTTGTTGCTCTTCTCTGCACTCTTTCTAGAGTCTCAACATCTTTTTTACATCGTGGTGACCAAAACTGGATGCAGTATTCCAAGTGTGGCCTTACCAAGGCCTTGTAAAGCGGTATCAACACTTCACGTGATCTTGATTCTATCCCTCTGTTAATGCAGCCTAGCACTGTGTTGGTTTTTTTGGCAGCTGCAGAAGACGGCTGCCTCATATTTAAGGGATTGTCCACTAGGACTCCGAGATCCCTCTCACAGTTGCTACTATTGAGCAAGGTACCCTCTATACTATACCCGTACATTTGGTTTTTCTTTCCTAAATGTAGAACCTTACTTGATTTCTAATTTGTGGTTTCTTTTCTGCTGCTGTCTTTGATGGGTATCATGCTGTTGATGATCATTTAACCATGTTTTGATCCCATTTAGGTTGGCCTTCGCTTGTTCTTACCGTAGATGCTTCAATTTTATGGTGCCGGTGGTGTTCTAGACCTAATGTGCCTATTGCTTTATTTATATATATTTCTGCTACACCAGGGAGGTTTTAATTTTGTGATAAACTGCCATGAATCTGCATGCAGTTGGCAGCCAGGAAACCCAATAAATAAAGAGGCCATTGGTAAGCCTTGTAATAAAGCAAAGAACAATTCTGTAAAGGTCTGCATTCTGTAAAGTCTTCTAAGCAGAAACAACTTACAATCCGACTGTGCTTGCTCATTTGGTATTAAATAAGATTTTAACAACTGGTCCCCTGAGGAAATGAGATAAAAATATAATAATATCCTCCATTCCACACCTAAGGTCTAGTAATAAGAGGAAATAACCTCAATGTAAGAAGTCTGGGGGAGCAAGTGGCCAGACTGTAAAATATCTCCAAATTAAACTTGGGGGGGGGGGGAATGCTCCTTCTGCCAAGGAAGTGGTTTTACAGTTTATCTGTCAATGCTGCTAACATCGGATGTTCTTGCTTTGACAACATATGGAGATGCAGCCAGTTTCCTTCTTATGTTTTACTCTTAGAATTAGAGTTAGAATTAGATGATAGTTAGACATAACAATATTGTAACTAGCGTGAGAACCAAGTTTTTTTGAAATAAGAGATGATAAGAAATGGCGGGTTGAAGAACTGGAGGGAAAGCCTGCATTTCAAACTAATTGGAGAATGTGATTTATCATTGCTAATTGGAGGAGGGAATTGTGCTTTGATACTGTGTGCTCAGGGGAGGGGAATTCAGATTTTGGCTTTGCCTATGTACATGCCGATGCTCTGCTACTCGAATAAAGATTCTTTAAGGTAAACAATGCCTCAAAGTTCTTTGAAGAGTTTCATCTGTCGGAACCATGATATTATCATTATTACACAAATTCTCTACTGCATGTTTTTGGTGATTCATCCTTTCCATCATTTTATTGATGAAGAATCTGTCGAATGACTGTCTCCTGCCTGCTTAAAGTCTCTTGAAATATGTGTGTGTGTGTGTGTGTGTATTAATAAGACTTGTCTGCAAAAAGGGGAACCTAAATGTTTTCCAAAGAGCACAAAGAACAAACAAGCCAACTGTGTCTTTACTTACCACATTGTGAGCTTCATCAAGTATTACTACGGCCCCCTTCAAGTCCAGGTTGTGACCTTTTCGATTCTGTGAAAAGAGCAAAACACAACACTTGGTCTCCATTAGTGACAACACAAGTAGCCCTCAACTTGTGACCACAATGGAGCCCAAAATTTCTGTTGTTAAGTGGATCCCTGAAATTGTTAAGTTAGTAACGTGACTGTTATGTGACTCTGGCTTCCTCATTGACTTTGCTTGTCAGAAGGTTGGAAAAGGGGGATCACGTGACCACCCCCCCAGGGGACACTGCAACTGTCGTAAGTATGAGTCCGTTGCCAAGCATCTGAATTTTGATCACGTGACCAAGAGGATGCTGCAACGGTTAAGTATGAAAAATGGTCATCGGTCAATTTTGTCAGTGCCGCTGTCCCTTCAAACTGTCAATAAATGGTTGTATATCAAGGACTACCTATACTCCAACAAGCAAAGGCAATGGGAGAAGCCAGATTCACTTAACAACTGCATGATTCACTTAACTACCAAGGCACAAAGGTCATAAAATTGGGCATGACTTACTTAACAACTGCTTTGTTTAGCAATGGAAATTCTGGTTGCCATTGTGGTAGTAAGTCAGGGGTCTTCAAACTTGGCCCTTTTATGACTTGTGGACTTCAACTCCCAGAATTCCTCAGCCAGGCACACGTGCACGTGTGCCTGGCTGAGGAATTCTGGGAATTGAAATCCACAAGTCATAAAGGGCCATGTTTGAAGACCCGTGGTCTGGATCCAAGCCCGCAGTTTCATCAAAATGGCCGACTGAGGAATTCTGGGAGTTGAAGTCCACCAGTCATAAAAGGGCCAAGTTTGAAGACCCTTGTCATAAGTCAAGGACTACCTTTAAGCCTGATACTCAGTAAGCACCAGCAAAGAATGATTAACTGTGTTTCCAGTGGGAGGCCAAGGAATCACATTCCCTGATGCAACGGAAGATTCTGCTCCCGTGTTTTTCAACTATGGCAACTTTAAGATGTTAATTTTGGAAATGGAAAGTGAACAAGTTAAAGAAACAATGATTTTTAAATATATATATATATATATAAAACATATACCTTTGAGTCCAGCAGATAGTTATAAGGCATAAAAATGATATCGGCTTGCTGTTTCAGACTCTTAGAAAGATAATAAGGGCAAACTCTGTTTAAAGAGAAATGGAAAAAAAAATTACACAAAGCCCATCTAAATTAAATTGCTTTCAATATTGTGTTTAACAAAAACTGCCTGCCATCTTTTTAATGGATGACCAAAATGCTACATGCCAAGACCACTAACTGGTGATTTGGCCATAAATTCATTGGGTGCTGTTAAGTCAAAACAGCTGCCACTTTCCCATCACAGGGCTATTCCAAGCATTTTTGGTCATCCAATTGCTTAATGCTGACATAATGCTGCTCCTTGTCATTTGCAAGTTCCATTTTAGCCTACAACCGAGGATAACGAAAGTATGGATAATGAGTGTGTAGAAAGATGCTGAAACTCAAAAACCAGGGGAAAAGCACTGGAGGAAAAAAAAAGGAACTAAAAGACTGAGGAGATCGGTGAGTATACAAGAGGCAGTGTTTCTCAACCTTATCAACTTTAAAATGCGTGGACTTCAACTGGCTGAGGAGTTCCGGGAGTTGAAGCCCTCATGTCTTAAAGTTGCCAAAGCTGAAAAATATTGCGATAGGAAGATTGGCAGCAGACTGCAGGAAACGTAGAGCCCAATAATAATAATAATAATAATAATAATAATAATAGTAGTAGTAGTAGTAGTAGTAATAGTAGTAGTAGTAGTAGTAATAGTAATAATAAAGTTGGAAGGGACCTTGGAGGTCATCTAGTCCAACCCCCTGCTCAGGCAGGAAACCCTATACCATTTCAGACAAATGGCTGTCCAGTCTCTTCTTAAGAACTTCCAGTGTTGGAGCATTCACAACTTCTGGAGGCAGGTTGTTCCACTGGTTAATTGTTCTAACTGTCAGGAAGTTTCTCCTTAGTTCCAGGTTGCTTCTCTCCTTGATGAGTTTCCATCCGTTGCTTCTTGTCTTGCCTTCAGGCGCCTTGGAGAATAGCTTGACTCCCTCTTCTTTGGGGCAGCCCCTGAGATATTGGAATACTGCTATCATGTCCCCCCTCGTCCTTCTCTTCGTTACACTAGACCAGTGGTTCTCAACCTGTGGGTCGGGACCCCATTTGGGGTCGATCGACCATTTCATGGGGGTCGCCAAGCAAGGCTGTCCGCCATTTTTTTTGTCCGCCATTTTTTTCCCCTTTTCCGGCGGTGCCTTACCTCCCTTGGGCTGGGCTAGCTGGTGGTCGGCCTGCTCCGTCTCTGCCGCTTGCCAGCTACACCTCAGCCGGCGCAGGGGGCGGAACCACGCATGCGCGGCGCTCCCGGGCAGGGAAAGTCCTCGACTTACGACCGGTTGGGTAGTCCTCGACTTATGACCGGTTTAGTCCTCGACTTACGACGGATTTAGTCCTCGACTTACGACCAGTTGGGGTCGCGGCATTAAAAAGGTTGAGAACCACTGCACTAGACATACCCAATTCCATCAACCTTTCCTTTGTTTTTTACATGTACATAAAATACTTTTATGTACATGTAAAATATATTGGAATCTCTCACCATGAACATGGTTCATGAAATTCTTTACTGCAGATCAGAGGTCTTCAAACTTGGCCCTTTTATGACTTGTGGACTTCAGCATGCCTGGCTGAGGAATTCTGGGAGTTGAAGTCCACAAGTCAAAAAAGGGCCAAGTTTGAAGACCCCTGCTGTAGATAATAAGTTCTACATTCATCAGCCCCAATGGCAAAAGTCACCTTATTTATCAGTCCAACCTATAAACCTCTAAAATTCTCATGTCCGTAATTTTTAACCAAATGACACGGTGTATCATAGGGCAAAACATTTTCAACCAAGGTGCCGCAAATGGATTTACAGAACTGCATCTGAAAACTGGCACTCGTTGACTCCTG